ACAGAGGGAGAGAGAGGGAGGAGAAAGAAAGAAAGAAAAAGAGAGAGAGAGAGAGAGAGAAAGAGAGAGAGAGGACGGAACACGAGCAGCGAGACGATTCAATTCCACCTCCTCCTTCGTCGTCGCGTATTCGGCACGATCGTTCGAAGAGTCATCAACCGCCGAGACGAGACGCGGCTTTTTCCCCCCTTTTTCTCCTCTTCGTTCGGAACGGACCGATCGGCCGCGCTGTCAAACGTCACGGGGATGAAGACGGCGGGTGTTACTCGGCGATCTCGAGGAGCGCGAGACGTGCATTTGGTGTGATCACGATGGACGGACGACGAGGGACGACCGGCGACGACGACGACGACGGCTACAGTAATCACGACATGCACTGTCGAGACCCGCGCGCAACACCCGTGTTATGGCCCGCACACATGCACACCCGACCACTTTCGGTACACCACAATAATAAGCACACACATGCACGCACGTTTAATCGCACGCAAGCAAGCATGCATGCATGCACCACGCGACACGCGTTCCACGAGTATCTCGATGCAACTGAATCGAGAGCGGCACCGTGCTCGTGGACACGATTCGACCGACCGGCATTCTCCCACTATTTTGCTCGACGGCGAACACCCTCTGCTGGCGGACGTGGAATTCATGGACGACCTGGTCGAGGGTACGTGTGGTTAGTTATCTTCTTAGGGAAACGCTGCTTGGCGTGTCGATGGTGCCTGTGGCGCTACTGATCAGTGCCTTGACGCCATTGCGGGATGGTTAATGGTTTTTTGTTTCCTTTGCGATGATGGGCTGCGTTGGATACGGAGTAGGTGTAATGAATGGGGTATAGATGAATATGTAAATTGTAATTTGATTCATGTTTATGCCATTTATTTTGGTGTGTGTAATGTTTGATTAGAATCTTTAGTTTATTGTGTGAAATGTAAAGTATTTTCGTTTAATTAATATTTGTCAATGTTAGGTATTTGGTACGGATTAGATTTAATTGTATATGTATGCAGAACTTGTAGGTACTGAAGGTCTGCAGGGATTGTTTGTAAATATCAATTGAAATACTTAATAATAAAATAGGAAATTTATTCATCGAAACAGGTAAAAATGTATACGAATACTTTTGAAAGTACCATAAAAAATAGCGTCTTGCATACTGTCACATTAAATAAACGATTATATAAATGTAATTTGAGTTCTTGTTTGATTCACTTGCCACACATTCAGTGCTTCATATTCCTCGATACAATCGTTCACTTGATCGGGTTTGAATCCTTTGCTCGTGCATCTTTCCAAAATATCTGATACTTTGACCGTTTTCTTGTCACCAGCTAATTCTCTAATTAGATGGAAAATTCGATTCATTGGATTCTGGTTAGTATTTGTAGTCAGCGTTTCGGAATAGTTGATGGAATGCTTTGACATTTCAATTAGTCTATTTGCCTCTTGTACATCTTCCTTTTCGACAACGTTTGATAGCCTTAGGCGTGCTAGTGCAGTAGACAAACGTAATAAGCCCAATAAATTACGTGCAGAAGTAAATGTCTTATCCTGACTATTACGTGCTGCCCTTCTCATTTCTACATAAGATTCTACAAAATAATTATACACAAATAATATAAATAACGTTATTCTGCAAACACATGGTTTAATTTCAGAAAAATTCGATGACACTCTTACCAACTATATACTCTGTCAATTCTTCTGGAACAATGGGTTGTTTTAGTTTACACAAAGTGATGTATCTTCTAATTAAATTCATATCCAAGGCTTGCGACTCCATAGGGGGTTGAATACAATGTTGGTGAACATAAGTTATGTGTTGAGCCATTCTGCAGAAAATATCTTTCTTATAATATTGTACTACACGAAAATAATTTCACAGAATATTCAGAAATTAAATGATCAAACATATACTGACTTCAAATCATTGCTACGATCTGCTCGATCTTGAATTAACCAGAGTAAATCGAATCGAGATAACAAAGCAGCAGGTAGCTGAATATTTTGTTCAATCGTCCTTCTTGGATTATATCTGCCATATGCAGGATTTGCAGCAGCCAATATGGAAACTCTTGCATTTAAACGAGTTGTAATTCCTGCCTTTGCAATTGATATTGTTTGTTGTTCCATCACTTCATGAATAGCTGTTCGATCTGAGTCTGCCATTTTATCAAATTCGTCGATGCAACAGACGCCTTCATCGGCTAGTACCAAAGCTCCTCCTTCAAGCATCATTTGACCAGTCAGAGGATCTTTCATAACTGAAGCAGTTAAACCAACTCCCGAAGAACCTCTGCCAGTTGTATATTGAGATCTAGGCGCCAGCCTCGTTATAAACGAAAGTAACTGAGACTTAGCAACTCCTGGATCACCCATTAAGCAAATATTGATATTACCTATAAATAACAAACAAAATATTGAACGCAAATTTAAAAAAATGTAAATAAACGTAAGACATTAATTATAAACGTGTTAAAAGAAACCTCTGATCTTAATATCCTCCCGATGTTTATCTGTTCCACCAACAAGGAGTAATAACAATGCTTTTTTAACATCTTCAAGCCCATAAATTTCTGGAGCTATGGAATGAGCCAATTTACCATAAAAATCATCTTCCGTTAATAAAGCCAACTCGTCATCAGTCAATTCGGCATTACCATCGTCTGAGCTTTGCATATTAGTAAGACAAACAATTCTCTACATCATAAAAAATGTTCATGTTCACTTAGAATTTTATAAATTACTGTAAGTAACGAAAATACTGAAATTATAAATACATACATGTGCATCTATATATGTTTCATTCAGAAGAGCTGCACCAACTCTAGCACTAAATCCAGACTTTATGATTGGCAGAAAGATACCTGTAATAAGTACATGATCTCCAGGTAAACACTTTCTGGTTACTTCACCTCGACAATAAACTGTTAAAGATCGTGGAATATGACCTACAGGAACTTGATCACTCTAAAACAATTACAGTAACTATTATTAAATAATACAGTAACAATAATTATCAATAAATAATTTAATCATTAATAAGTCGTAATAAGTTTAAAACGTACGTGTTCTTGTATTTTTATTTCTTGAAATTTGACAAATTTTGATCCTCTTGTTTGCATTTCTAATACACCACCAGATTTATTTATACGACAATCATCACTGGGACATGATCGCAATGGCATATACTTAAGAGATTGTACCTAAAAATTAATTTTCATAACAATACACTATATTCTAGTAAATTTCAATTGATTATTGTATAATAAAGTATCATTAATTTTTTACCGGTTGGAATGTTTCAGCACCACACTGATCGCATGTATATGTAGCAACAACAAGTAAAGGCATTACATCACTACATCTTGTTACTATACCTCGTACAGTAACTAATTTTCCTATTTTATCTGCTTTTATGTCTCTCACTGAATACTCCTTAGCTGTATCAAAATCTTTGAAGTATACTTCGCTGAAATATACATAAAGCAAGAAATAATGAAAGTATTTGTAATGATTGTAAAACATGTGTATACTAAAATTAAATTAAATTAAATATTCATAGTACAAGCGTCTCATGAGTTCTGGGGCATATTTATTTCTTGCATCACGTTGTTCGCCAAGATGTCTATTACGGTTTTCCATCAGTAATCTATGTTCAATATATACATCCAGAGCATCTTTTGGTGGCACAGCTTTTGTTTTATAGTCAGGTAACATTTCTTGAATGAGCTATATACATACAAAAGTATATTTTTTATACATTATTATAGATATAATCATTCACCCCTTAAATATTTTAAGTAATCAACCCTACAATATTACAATAAAAAATATATACTTACATCCAAAAGTAAATTAACATATCTTCGAGTATTACTTGCAATAGATTCTGCTAATTCATCATCAAACTCATGAACATCGTCTAATTCTATTACAAGTTCTACTTGTTCACGATGAGCTATATTGGTGAGCTGATTTTTATATTTGAATGATTTCTCGCCAGTTTTGGTATCCATTACCATAAACTCCGTCAAAAAAGTTTTCATTTGCTCTGATATAACAAGAAAATATTAAGAAATGTATTATAAACATTTAAATTTTAATATAAATATTTAATATTGTAATATGTAATAATATTCACCTCTAACTTTTGTATAATCCTTTGATATTTTTGGTGCCATTTTTATAAATTTACTTTTAAAATTATTTTATAAATGAATCTTCTCACACTTTTCTTTTACATAAATCGAGTTACTGGACAAGAATGTCAGACAACTGTTGTACTCCGCAATGTGTTCTTCCCGCCTAAATTAAACCGGAAGTTTACTATATAATGCATCGACATTTTGAAAGTTCATAATTCAAAAATGGAAAAGTACCTATATGCTTCTTATTCCCTGTATATAATTTTAATTAAACCGATCAGAGATTCTACAAACTTATAGTATATAACAATATTATAACAAAATAAAATACTTGTAATAAATAAAATTGTATTTAAATTACAATTTGTATAATTAACGTATAAGAGACTCCTTATTTCATAGAATTTCAACTGTTTAAGATTTTAATGATACAATATAGATATATATATATATTTTAAATAAATTTTTGAAAAGTTAATATGAAAGTTAATATTATTTACTCATTTAATATTTGTTACAAATATTGATATATAATTAAATTTATATTTTTCAACTTTTTACATATGAAGAATATAAAAGCACATTTCATTTAAATAACTTTGCGTACTCGCGTTTTTTAAAGACTTATCTATAAATAAAAAAATAATTACATATGTATTTAATTAAGCACAAATTAGGTTAGGAAAATACAGCTGAAAACATTTCTATACGAATGAGAGGTTAGGTTCGTGTTACATGTGTCTGTTAATTTTCTAAATAATTTAACAAAATGGGAAAATCGAAAAAATTAAAAGTCTCCAAAGGCGAAACAAAGCATCCAAAAGTAGGACTGGCAGATCAAATAGAAGAGGAAAAAACAGCAAAATTAAAAAATAGGAATAAGATCAGAATTCGCAATGATGAAGATGAAAAGGTTAGGTCTTTATTATTGTATTTTAAGACAGTCCATATAAATTAAAATAATTTTAAATCAACATGTTTAACATACTTGAAACAATATCGAAATATCTTTAAAAAATTAATGTAAACGTTAAATATATATTTTATAGTTTGTGGCCCCTTATCTTACAAAGAAGATTTTATCACAAGCCAGACAGCAACAAATTGAAATTGAAGAAGAAATTGGAATAGGGCAAACATCGAAATCTACAAGAAAACCAATGGTAAAACTTGGTCCAGAGTTTAGCGATACAGAAGAAGAAGAACTTAGTGAACATGAACATGATGATTCACAATATTATGAAAACATTGAAATCGATGAAGAAGATGAACGTGCTATACAAAAGTTTATGTCTAAAGATCCTGTACCTATGAGAACATTGGCTGATATAATATTAGAGAAATTGACTGAAAAGAAAACAGAGATTGAAACTCAATTTTCAGAAGCAGATAGTATGCAAATGCAAGAGTTAGATCCACGAGTAAAAGCAATGTATGAAGGTGTTAGAGATGTTTTAGTAAAATATCGTAGTGGGAAATTACCTAAAGCATTTAAAATCATACCTACCTTAAGAAATTGGGAACAAATATTATACATTACGGATCCACCAAAGTGGTCAGCAGCAGCAATGTATCAAGCTACTAGGATATTTGCTTCTAATCTTAAGGAAAAAATGGCACAAAGGTTTTATAATTTGGTATTGTTACCTCGAATTAGGGATGATTTAGTAGAGTATAAAAGACTAAACTTTCATTTATATCAAGCATTAAGAAAAGCACTATTTAAACCTGCTGGTTTTATGAAAGGAATTTTACTCCCATTATTAGAATCTGGAACCTGTACATTAAGAGAAGCTGTTATTATTGGATCTGTGATCGCTAAGAATTCAATACCAATTTTACATTCATCCGCGGCAATATTAAAAATTGCAGAAATGGATTACACAGGTGCAAACAGTATTTTCCTTAGGATCTTTCTAGACAAAAAATATGCACTTCCATACAGAGTCATAGATGGCCTTGTATTTCATTTTTTGAGGTATAAATGGTTTGCTTTGAACTGTATCATTTTTTTAATTACTATAGTATTTTGAAAATAATACTTCCTTGTAGGTTTGAAAGAGATCCCAGAGAATTACCAGTTTTGTGGCATCAAGCATTATTAACGTTTGCGCAACGTTACAAAACTGATATAAGTTCAGAACAGAAGGAGGCTTTATTAACATTATTAAAGAAACAATCTCATCATTCGATCACGCCTGAAATACGAAGAGAATTACAACATGCCAAATGCAGAGACATAGAAGGTGTAGAACCTAAACCAGAACCAATGCTTTGTTGAATATTCAAAATATTTATATTGTGAAATGTATAAATTAAAACTCTTCATAAAAGAAACATTTTGTTTATTATGTGTTTCATAAATCCGTTAATGTTTTATGAACAGTAAATTGTAAATTAATAAAAATAAGAATTTATATTTACGCATGAATAAGAATCACTTAATTTTTTCTAGTGTTATAAAATGAAAAATTATAATCATATAAATTATATAGAAGTTTTTCAGGTTTCTACAAGGTTTTTAGGTAAAATATTATAATAATCATGTATACAATATTCTCTATATCTTTACTTTATTCTATTTCGTGTATTAAAGCATTCTATAAATGCATAAAATCTACAGTTGAATCATAAATTATAAACTTACAACCTTTGTTAAAAACACTTTTCTATAGTTTCATTTTCAATGATTCACATAGTTAAATAACAGTTAAATTTAACACTAAATATATAAAAAGTAACAGTCCTAATTTTTAAAACTAGTTTATTGTAAATGACTGAGCCATTTATTTTTAAAGTGGTATAAATCCAACTCTGAAAAAATTCAATAAATTGATGTGTATCTGTTGAAACTTATTAACTTCTTCAAATGAATATTCATTTTTATAAGTGACTTATACCACTCTCAAAGTAAATAACACTTACAAATTGTAAGTACCAAGATTTTAATACCAAGGGACACATCGGTAAATTGACACATATGTTTAATTATTCTCACATTTTCATACTTGTAATATATTTTACCTATAAGTAAAATTTAAATACAATTATTTAAAATAAATGTCTTATACGTTTAAGTATATAAAAATTGCAATATAAAAATATCTACGAATGAAGTATACAAAAATTATTTTTCTATTGTTTAAACAACGAGTGGACATGTTTTTATGCTTCAACAAAGTATTCTGACTCTATTCATGAATAACAATTGTTACAGATCAATATAAATTATGTATATATATATTACAGTACTCAAAATTTTAAATGTTTAATATTTTCGCTTTTTACAATGGTTTGAACTTCATTTCTTTTTAAAGAAATTAGTAATACTTTTGGATCCTGCTGCTGCTTTTTGCCTGGCTAACTCCTTTTTACCAATAGTAGGTTTTTGAAGCTATATAAAAGAAATGATGAATTATAAACATGTTATAGTACAAATACACATCTACACTCATGAAAGCAATTACTTTTTCTGGTTTGGATAGATCAGTAGCTTTTGGCTTTAATATTAATTCATTTTCAACTGTATCTTTCTTAGACCTCTTTTCTTCGGTACTATCGTTAGGACTACTTAATTTCCGTTTCTTACTTTCCGTTTCATCTGGTATATTTAAATATTGTGCTAATTTTTTCGATAAATCTTCTGACAGATATTCTGATACTATACCATGAGCATACTTTAAATATTCTATATAAATAAATTATTGTTATATGTATTATTCATAATTAAAACTGATATTTATTAGGAAAATTAATATATTTTAAAATATGTAAAACATATGTCATTTCTTACCTCCTTCCGATGCAGTTTCAAGTTTAATACTTTTAATATAAGTAGCACTAATAGCACCTTGCGATACATGAATACCCTTCTGTTTCAATACATCAACTACTCTTTCTACCTTTTTCTGTAACCAAGCTAACGTCTTCTCCTCGTTAAATTTGTAAGCTTGTAGTGATTCATCTCCTTTGCGATCAGCAACTAATGTCAACTTCAAATTTTGACACTGAGATAGGCGAGACGTCTCTGGGAAGTCTTCGTCCCATAAACACTGATTTAATGGTTGTACTTGTTGAGTCTTTCGTAAGTACGGTAATACTAAAAATATTGGATCAATAGGAGTAGATAAATGCATTTTCCCATCGGATTTTACATTATCGTCTATAAACCATGATCTTTTATTCTCATCGAATGTTAAAACCTCTTGCACTGTCGTATTGCCTGGATTAAATACAAACATAGCAGGTTGATTTGTAGCTGGATGCCTCAACTTAATCACATCAGGTATACCTCCTCCATCTGTGTTACTCAAACCATCACCTATAATATTTTTAACGGATTCGTTAAAAATAATGTATTAAACACACTGAACAGATAAAACTAATTGTAACTATTGAAAAAGTCTTACAAAATACCGGTAAATATGTGATTACGTCAATTGCACGATACAATAAATTTGAAAGAATAAATAATGTTTAATAATTTAAACACCTTTCATAAGAAAAACCCATGTATTCGTTCCTGGATATGAATTAGTCGTTTTAACACACTTTTTTGGTGATGCTTTGGTACGCGGCATATTTACGCGCGTTTTACAGGATCGATAATACTTTAGGTTATTTACTTATCTAGTACGATTTTCACCATGTATTAATACGTATATATAAAACAAATTTAGCGATCAGCCATTTTTAGTAAAAGAACCAACGTTTAATTTTTTATTACACGTTAATCTTAATATATCGAGCTGTATATCCTTTTTGCTAAAGAAACACGTTAGACGCGACATGCCGCCAGTGTTGTGGAAGATAACATTTGAAATCTCGATATGTGGTCGAACGTCAGTGAATGGTCGATGATCGGAGAATTGGGCCGAGAAGAGGCGTTGCCGCGCTAACAAGCCATCTTTTGAAAAAGAAAAATGTATCAAAATCGTACTCTGGCGAGGAAGATTTAAACTACAATGCTTATAACTTCTACCGATAAAAAGTTATTGAATTTATTTCATATTTCCGGACATGTCAATATTTCAATACATATTCGTCATTATGTACGTATATTTCATTATTTCTCGATTATTCAAAATTATTCTTTAAATGAAATTATTACATACAAGAATTAGTTAAGATATACAATAGAAGAAAGAAATAAATCTGTTAAGAAGTCTCTTAACAGACCGGCATTGTATTGATAAAATAAATTTATTTCTCTTATCTGTTACATACATTAGTAAACATCTTCTCTTATGAACATTACTTCATTCTTATTCTGAATTTTTTAAATTAAATTGTATATAAAATTATAAAAGAAATGAAACACTTGCATGAAACGATATTATAAATTATTAAATAATATA